ATTTGGATATCCACTGATGAACGTTCACCCGACGGCTAAAGGAATTCGTCTGTACAGCTCTGCATCGGATCTCAACAGAGGCTCTGACAACCATGGCAGCGCAGGCAGATAGTTGAGGCGTTTCATTCTGATCAAAGATGTTGCGAGTTTGAGGCTCAGGTGGGACGTCACTTGGTTCTCAAAGAGATAACGGGCCTCATCTTGGTACTGAACTGGGATTCGATGCGGTGGTTGCAAGACAGGTTTTGCAGTGACAGTGTCGATGGCGTGACGAATCAGATACGTCGGACCGAGGCAGTAGTTGTCCCACGTGAAGATCTCTTGGAAAACTTAAGACAATGTTAAAGGAATAAGTGGCTGGATTCTTGTCCGGAATACTATGGCAGGATGTCGTCGACACAAAATGGTGGTATTCTGTCGGAATCCTCTATGACAGCGCATATAACAATTTCGTCAGAGACAGGCGGCTGCTGTTGTTGTTCAGTTGCAATGGAAGATGATTAAATAGTCACCCTTTGGGGTCAGTATGACAGTCATGTTAGGCAATGAAGTTAGACACAGCAGCAAAACCATGGGGCAATGTTAGAGTAGTAAACGCAATGATCAAAGGTCCTGGGTCCTAATCTCAGGAGTTTCAACAGTTGAGATTGGGTATGACTAGGTGACGACGGATTTTAAGCCATTCCAGTCTCCTACCTTAAGGGTGCGCAGGAGCAAAATCAATAATGACAGATAAGTAGCCTTAAGGTATCCAGTCTGCGTGACCTACTGAATAAAAGTTCGAAAATATCGGGCATATGTAGTGGAAAATGGCATCGGCCCGTAAAGCATAGGGTGATTGTGCTAAATCACGCTACTGACAATTACTAAGTAGGTGGTTATTATAAAAACCCATCGCTTTGCGTAGACAATATGTCCAGGTTTCTTACGGGATCGGCCGTTGTAGGGGATGCTGTGAGTGGGGTCCACCAGGGGACCTGTACAATAGGTGCGTCCTTTATGCAAAATGCCTAAGTTTGTAAAAAAATAGAACACCGGCGTGCACACATTTACGAAATC